CAGATGATAGGTATTAAATCAGCAATGAAGTCTATGAGGTCATTGCCCCACCCCCTCTTGAAGAGAAGCCCGTCAGGTCCGGCTGCATTTTCTTTCTGCAGGGCTTGGATTCGAGTTCGTATTTCTGCTTCAGTAGGAGGTTCATACGACACTGCCTATGGAGTATCAACTACACCAGACATGATAGTCTGGTTAGCTTCTGGTCAGGTTAACTGTTCACTGAAGTACTCCGTCCACCTATCAAGCGTTGTTTCCTACTGCGAATAGCTTGTCCACTTTTGTCGCAGATTGTTTCACTAACGATGGTTGGCCAAACTCCCGTGTTGCGTATCAGTTGGAACAGTCCTTGACCTTCTTGAGGATCTTCATGAACTGACGTTGCAGATGCCACCTACCCCTGCTTTAATCCCGGGCGATTGGGATTTAACGCTTTGTCTACCTTAGTGCAACTGACTCATGAGATATTCAATTCCTCCGACCTGCTTGAAACCCTGTCAATCGAGCTTTGCGGAGTTTTCTGTGACCAGTGAATTGTAGAGTGAACTGTATCAAAACTTATGCGTATTCAGATTCAACGCAGTTTCGTACTGAGCCACGCCAACAGCGGCTTACTGCTGTCTGGTTTATCTGAGTTAGCGTGCCAGTTGATTTGGAGCGCCACACTGCTGTCCGTTAAGAGCTGTGCTGGAATTTGGTACTGGAACAGACGGTAATCTGCGCAGAACTGAAGAAGTCGACCGCCGTTATCTGTTCCTCGGCAAGGCAGAGCACGACGATTGTCTTGAAAAGCCTCCGACGCGCTGAATTCTCCAACGTCGTCGCGAATTCGAGGTCAGGAATCTAGCGATCCGCGGAAACTAGGACGCCTTGGTAACCCTGCACTGCCCGACGCAGAATCCAATCAACAGGGAAGTTGAAGAACACTGGCAGTAGCGACAATCCCTGTTTTAGTCCTGACCTCAGACCGAAGGGATGAGGCTCTTCGCCGTAGGCACGGATGCGGGCTTTGGTTTGGGTGTAATAGGATCTCACTATATTGACCAACTTTGCAGGGACGCCATCTGCAAGCTTTATCTTCCACAATGACTCGCGGTCTACTGAATCGAAAGCGACGCGAAAG